CCACACTGTGCCAGTGAAGTGCGCAGTGTGCAATGTGCGCAGCTTGTGCGCAGTTCGCACTGCGGTGCCAGCACGTCTGGGCTAGTGGAGATGCTGGAACCTTCTAAAAGCGGTTGCCGAATTAGTGCGCAGTGCACAATGCGGATTAATGTGTCTCGAGCAGTGCTCTGCCAACCACGATTCACAGTGCTGTGCAAGCGCGGGGAGTCAGAATCCAAATACCGGGTACCGTAGCCGGGTAATCACAATGTAATCTTAGGTGAGGTGGGGTGAGGGTGGTCACATTTGCGTCCTTGGAAATCTGAAAACCGGCGCACCGACCTCAAGGCCCGTCAAGGGTGCGCACCGACCCGAGAAAGCCACTTCGGTCATTATCATAGGTATTTGCAGCTTGCTTTTGCGGCAACTCGACCGGACTGCTAGAACTTCCCCGTGTTTTGCGGTCTCGAGTCGCGACGGTGAACTGTGCGCACCCAGCCTATTACTTTACAAACATTTTCGGAGGTCCGGGATCGGTCGCCCCCACCCTGGAAATGGTGCGACCCCGAATAACCTTTAATAATAGGGTAAAAATGCGGCCCCGAGGATGGAACGTCGCACCCCGAGGGTCGAAAAATTCGGGCCCGACGGGTCGTCGTGACCTCAAATCAGGGTTTCCCACAGCCGGCAAGAGAACCTGGACCTGGCCGGCCGAAAAAGGTCCCCGGCCGGTACCGAAGGCACCCCGCCGGCTGCTCAGCCGGCAGGAAATGCAGGCTCTTGCTGGGCTCAGCCGACCGGTACGGCCATTTACCGACTGTCCAGCCGGCCGAACCGGGGGGGTGCCGGCAGCTGGCCGGCCGGGACAAAAGTCCGTGGGCACTGGGAAACCCTGCAGGCTCAAATACCTAGGTATGACCCACCACCTATTATAGTACGGTAGGTATGATCATCGTCCCAACTCCGGCCCGACCTCGGAGTCGGACTCGACGACCAACCTTGAACCGACCAAATCTAAACCGCTGGCCACCGCGACCCGGGTGATCATTGGTTTACAATCTTGAGTGCCGTGAACTTAACTCTACAAATCATTGAAATCGTATTTGGCCCCTGCGTCCGACACTGTTACGTTACCGAGCGCCATTCTCCGGAATCTGATTGGCTCGCAAAACACGAATCCAAACTGTTGGAAGCAGCCGTACGATACGTATCTGGATTTTGCATGTCATGAGTAATTGACGTCTTTGTTACGTACGGCTCTTGGGACCGGCGAAGTTGTACCTATCGTAGGACGGTACCTACCAGCGTGAACCGTCGCAGTTCTGAACCGTTGGATAGCCTTTGAACGGTCAGCCTCGAGCAGGGACTCGCAGTGCTTGCTACGAACCGGTGTTTAAGCTGGACCTGGCCGGCAGAAATGATGGATGCACCGGTGCCGAAGGCACCCCACCGGCTGGACAGCCGGCAGAAAATGCTGGGCGCCTAGGCAGAACCGGCGTCCGGTGCTTTAGCCCGTGTGGCCAGCCGGTAGAAGTGTAGGTGGCCGGTAGACTGCCGGCACCGGTGAAAGTTGGTGGCAAGCCCTGGCAGGGAGGCAGATTCGGAAAATGATGATGATCATTAGAGTGCACACTGCAGTCTGCACTGTACATACCTAGCTAGCAGTAGGTACCCGCAGTGCGCACTTGTAGGTAGTCGTGGGTGCTCACTACAGTACTCGGAAGGTAGGTAGGTATCTAGGTACTTCCATAGGGCCTGTTCGCATGCCGCGCCAAGATCGACACGTTTCCGACAGAATGTAGTGGGTTGACTTTGGTTTGGGCTGTACGATTTCGGTACGGACGGATCGCTTGAAAACAGTGTTTTCGACGAGGCGTTCGATAGAGTGTTGGCAAGCCCAATGATTGAGCCCCCAAAAATGCATTTAAATCGCAAGAGAAAAAGATGGAAAATACAAAGCCCCTACCGGGTCTTGGCAGTCGGCACATTCAGACCACACAAGTGCTCGGTATGGAATGTTGGGACCGACAGATTCTGATAGGTGCCCCCGACCAGCAGGCAGATTCTGTTGGTTTTGATGGTACGATCGCGCGATCGAATTGTACTTTTCCAACTTCTGGCAAAGTGTTGGTCACACGCGGTGATGGGTTGCGGCCAAAACCGCCAGGATCTGTCGATTTTGGCTGCATGCGAACAGGCCCTTAATGCATGTGTGTGATCCTGGACGTTTACAAGAAAATGTTCAGTGTTAATGACCGCCGAGGTAAGTCCGGCGCCCGGGGGGCTTCGTCACATCAGGGAGAGGGTTAGGAACTTGATAAGAGCGACTTTGGTGCACAACATCTATAGCACAGCTGGTTTCAGGTTAGATTTTACAGGCTTCTGAGTGCTCGGTAGATGCACTCACCGAGCAGTAACGCACTGTTTTCTTGAGATTCAGGAGAAAGGCGTCGGAGGCTGCTACTGGGCCGATTATCATCTTCCGGGCTCAGTAGGCTGTCACCTGAGATATCCCGCAGACTCAGCCCCCAAGTTGCGCCGTCTGTCCAAGGAGATTGGAGCTCCATCCGCCGATACGAACGCGAACGTGATTCCGTTTCAGTCTGATTCCCGATCGGAGCGGGATTCTGTGGCCTGCCGCGCATTCGTTCGCTTAAATGATATGAGAGACTGAGCTAGCTCAACCGTTACATAGTGGGACGCATGATTTGCAAAGCTAGGAAGCTGAGCGGGACGCTCATTTCCCTCAGTGACCTTTTCAAAATGCGAGTTGGCGCCTGACTGCCGGCGCCCTCGGCTGCATGGCTGAGGAAGGCATCAATGCGTTCGGGGGGCGCAGCAGCGCTCCCTGGAGCCCGGACCTGCTGCTGGCTGGCGCGACGCTCCCCCCGCTGGTGTCGACTTCTCACCCGTCCTTCTCGACATTCAGCTCGGCCAGCGTTCAAACACTCTCAACAGAGACTGATGGAGGGTACCCGGACGCAGAGGACCTGGGCCGCGAGAGCCCAACTGCGCTCAGACTAACAGGGAAGCCTTGGCGGCGAATGTGGAATTCGGTGAGTTCCTGATTCATCTCTGCATTGCCTGACAGAACATTTATCATACCGATTACCTTTCACCGAAGCCCGGGGATCTCCAACACTGTGCTGCATTGATTGTTTGCAAGCATTGAATCCTGTCCAAATCAGATTTTGCATGGACACTCTTCCAAAGTCACTGCCTTCCTATAACGTGTCTGGCCGTTTCTATCAGCAGAGCTGTGAAGACACAATTAAGCAGTCTGAAAGGCCTTCCATTGCAAGCATCAAGGTCGTATCCTTCTGTAAAGGTTTTGAGCTTGCAAGTAATCTCACAGTTGCCTAACGATCAAGTTACCTACCGATACGTGGGCTCTCCATATGTTCAAAACCGAATAACATTCAATGAACTCACAAACAAGCAGCCTTACTTCTACCACTGCCGTTCCTGGCAGTCACTGTCCTGAACTTCATTGGCTGCATTCACTGACAATCACATACTCCATTGCAGACGGAGGACTCCATTCTGGTGAAGCTGGTCCAGGAGTTTGGCCCCACAAGGTGGAAGGAAAAGGCTGAAAGGATTCCTGGGAGGACCGCGCGCCAGTGCCGTGAGCGGTGGCACAATCACCTGGAGCATAATCTCAACAAGGTCAGCGGGCTTCCCAGTTCCTTTCCAGTGTGCTGAGTTTGGGCAACTTTTGTGGTACCACTGTGATTTTCTGGGGTGTGCCCTGGCTGCTCTCAAGGAACTACTGCTGCAAGTCAGCTGAAGCCGGCGTCATCTAGCACATGTGGGAATGTGCTTTGAACATACGGAACAGGGACGCAGTTGAGTATTCCCATTTGTGTCTTTGGAAAGGGATTCAGAGTGGAACCTTTCACATGCAGGGGCCATGGTCTGAGGAAGAGAAAGTGACTCTCGCAGTTTTGTACTCACAATTGGGGCCAAAATGGAGTTTAATTGCCAAGTACTTGCCTGGTCGAAGTGACAACTGCGTTAAGAACCACTGGTATGCTGCTGTTAAAAGGAAAACCGGTAAGAAGCACCGCTGGATTTGTGTTCACGTTGAGCAAAGCGAAGCTGCTGCCAACCTCTACTGTTGCTTAAAATGTGCGTCCCAATGCTAGTGCATTTCGGAAGGAACTTTCAGAATGTGAGCTCGACACTTCCACTTCTACATCCTTCAAAGTCATTGATATCAGTATTATGCGAACAACCCAGACTGCTGAGAGTATGCAGTCATCAGCATGTTTGGCTCAGCCAGAAAAGAGCTGAATAACAACAGCTTTGAGCTCAGCATTCATCTAAGATGAGCCCTCGAGGATGCAGAAACGTTCCTGCTCTGTTAGTTGCTACCTCACTGCAGCTTTTGACTCTATGTGAATGGGCAGCCATGTTGAGAAAGTCCTGATTCCGAAGCTGATGTTCTGCAGGAGGGGGGCTGTGCCAGCAAAGCCTGTGAGCAGGAGCTTGAGGACCATCATCTTCAGCTGGTTCAACGCTGGAGGTCCATGCTGCGAATCGACGAGTGGTTTGAGAACTTGGGGTCTTCGGTCCTAACGAATGTTGAACCTTAGCTAGACCGGAAGATGCTGCAGGTATTCAGTCCAGCAATGCAAAGCGGCAAGCGCAGGAGGTACTGAAGCAGGTTGTCAGGTGACTCAAGCGAGCACGTTTACAGTAGTCAGCTTTTCAGAACAGTTGGAGCAATAACGATCGTATCACGACCACGGGTCCAGAAGATGTTCAAATCCTAAATGGTCTGACGGAACTTGAGTCAGCGGACATAGAGCAGATTGTGAAGCCTGCCTAGCATCAAGCATAGCCGCAGAACATGTAGAGCTGCTGAATGAAGTTTCCAGAGCTAGACGATGAGATCCAACGAAACACTATGGCGAAACACAAACTGGATAGCTGGCACGCAGCTGCTGATCGAGCTTAGGACTTCCAGGAATCACCGACCTAGATTAAACTAGTCATTGTTACTTTGTACATGCACTGTTAGTCAGGCTCGCTTAATCGAGTTAGGATAGCTGTCGACCTTCCAACTTTAGATTGCAGCTCCGTGGAGACGTTTTAATTTGCATAACCATTGCATTTTAACTTCAACAGACGTTTGGCTGTTCTTGCTAGATGATCAGCTCTTTCCAATCTGGTATACCTTACATGCTCGTTCCGGCCGGCAGGCTGGTGTCAATCTACATCCGTTTCCAAACAATACTCCGGCAAGCAGACGCGTCCAAGGTCAGCCTGGTACACCCTGGAGATGCATGTGCAATTTGCAGGTATGTCTTCGTGGGGGTCCGCTGTTCAAAGACTGAATACACTTCCACTTTGAAAGGCTGCAATGTCGGAACCTGACCGCTGCTTCTGCTGTTCTGTTATCGTTGTCACAGGTCAGGATATCTTTGGTAATTATCGGAATCGGCCCATCATTCACAATCATTCATGACGTGATCCACTTGTGGCCGGTGCTCAAACGGTACTTGCGTGACCTGATTTGCGATGCAGACACAAAACAAAGCTTGCCCCGGTATAGCTGCGACGTGTGACTTCAATCCAGATCAGATTGACCCAGGAACATCATCGCTTGCATCTTGAAGCCATCGGTCATACTGACTTGGAAGTACCTGAATCCTGCGAGTCAACTCCCTGAGACCTACGATCCCAAGCCCTAACGTTGTTACTAAACTTTTAGTCTTCGGCACGGCCTACAGCACTGGCTATGGATCTCAATGGAGCAGGCTATTTGAGTTGGAAGTCGACATTTTGGGGGGTTTGCTATACTGTGTTGATGGCCAAATGCTCTGAACTAGCAATTCTTGAGGGAGATTGCGTCATATAGAACGTCCCTTCCGTTATCATCCGAAAGTTCTGGTGTTGACGTCATCCTGGCTTTGACGTCATCCTGGCTTTGACGTCATCCAATTTGTGTTGGAGACATCCAAATTAAAGTGCCTTAGTGTGTGAACGCAAGCCTACTTTCAGCAGTATCCTCGCAAGTATTTACAATGCCGTAAGTTGATGTGAATCTCCTAATACAGTGTCCCAGTCATCTGATTACAATTTCGCTCGATTCGTAAATTATGGCTGCTTACACAATTCGAACAAAACTGGGCCTTGTCCCCCTTCCCGATGCAAACAACTTGACGCGGTCCTCACCGTCCTTCTAAGAGCCGCAGGCAATCCGCCGTTACAACCCTGAAACCCGAGCGCAACCTTTCGGTAAATCTTTAGAAAAAAAACTCACAACGACACCTTCACAAAACCTCTGCTCCTCTGCATTCCCCGTCATCGTTTCTCTTCTGATCTCGCTTCAGTCCAAGACTCGTCGCCGTTTTTCTTCTGATCCTAAGTTCAGTTCCAGCGGCGTCCCCGTCTTCTCACGCCACCCCGAGCGCTTTCATCCCCTGCTCCGCCTTCTCCATCAGCCCGTGCCCCGCCTTCTGCATCAGCCCGGTGGCAGTCCCCCGGGGCGCCACCTGGGGGAGGAATTTTCACATTTGCAATAGTAAGCTTTAGCAATAGTCAGCTAACCAGCCTGGGACGGGTAGGGTTACTTTGGGGGTTAGGATGGGCTCGGATGCGGAGCAGGGAATTTTGTGGGTTAGGTTTTCAGTATTAGGGTGGTGCTTACTATTGCTAGAGCTTACTACCTATTGCTAAAGAAGGGACATACCTGGCTGCACACCGGTATGGTATGCCACGAGTTGCAGTTAAGTCCCCGGTAGTTCCAAATCTCGGCGGTGGTGCGCGGCTGGGTGTTCCACGCGTCGTCAAAGGCCTTGCACGTAAGCGTCATCTTGCCGCCCACAGCCTTTTTCTCGGACGGGATGGGCACCGAGAGCTCCCACAGGGCCCATGCCCAGGCGCGGCCCTCAGGCTGCGAGCGCCCCTCGGTGATCCTGCCGAAGAGAAGCTGGTAAGAATACTCCTCTACAGATTTACATAAAAAGATCGACTTTTGGAAGGAAAGAGAAAACAACGAGCAACTTGATTAACAAAGAACCGTTGGAGCTGTAATTTTCAGTTGCAGCCCAAGATTTGGGTTTGTAACAGCGTTCAAGATTTGGGTTTGGAAAAGCGAAGGATGAATGGAGGGCCAGCAGAAGATTCGAAAGGACGCCAGAGACTGGAATGGAATCGAATCAGCGCCGGAATAAGCTGGATAAACTGGACGCTTGTGAACAGAACGCGTTAGCGCTTACTTGGCCTGGGTCCAGCTCTGCCCTTCATCCGAAGACACGTCCACCCGCACAATGGCGTGGCCGTCGCCCGACCACGCATAACCCTTCACTGCAGCCAGGTGATGGAAGAAGCTCGATGAGTGAGTTCCTCAAAACAGAATTGATTTCTATTGAATGTTGAAAGAGCCGGCCACACTCCGAAGAATGGCAGTTTGCATCGAAGCCGAATGCCTGCACAGTACTAGGTAGAAAATCCTTTCCAGATGTTATTGCATTCGGAACATAGACTAGCTCCAGCGGCGTAACTTCGAAAGAAACATAGCTTCTCTCAAGGACTCGTCAATAGATTCTGTTGTAAGGAGGGAGATCATCATGTAACGGGGTAAACTCTCGACTCTTTCGAACGGGATTCCAAAGCGGATGGACTTGACAGTTCAATCCTACTGATCAACCGAAGCCGGAATAACCGACCGGTCACACTAGATCTAGATAGTAACTCAGAGATTCGATAGGCTCGCCTTTGATGCTGGTCTGGTCGGGTGCTATGATTGACCCGGCAGTCGGCATGAGGATCGCGGACTGCACGGGCAGCGCCATAAGCGGCGCGCACTCCTGCGGCTTTGCCTGCTCGTGCACTTTGACGCTCGGCGGCGCGGGGCGGTAGTCGATCTGCTGCCAGGGGCTCTGCGAGTCCGTTGCGGAGAATAGAATCCGCTGGAGCCATTTGACGGAACGGGTGCCCACGTAACCCGGGACGATCAGGCGCACCTGGAGCAAAGGTAACACAAGTGAGTCAAATCTTGCACGGTTGGGGCCTGGAATAGCTCCAGAATGCTACTTCGCTGAATCCTGGTAAAGAAGTCTGAAGCAGTCTCAACACTCAAAGAAGAGCGCATGGAACTTTTTGGAGCTTGGCCGCTGTATCCTCAAAAGATGCTCAATGGTTGCTCAATGTTTGCATCTCAGCTGCCTTCACACGCCCTCTTGGCAGCTTTCGACTTCTACTCTGGGCTGTACCTGGCTCTGTTTAGGACAGCACAAGGTTCTCAAGCAGACGGAGACCAGAAAGCGCGAGAACCTGACCACCCCCCGCCACCCACCGGGTACCCGTGGTCGGGCGGCAGCTCCTTGCCGTTCATCGCGTATGCCACGATGACGTCGCCCTTGACGTCAAGCGCCTTCTGGGTCGAGATAGACGCCTCGAAGTGCTGCTGCGTAACGCGGTGCCAGTCCAGCCCGGTGGCGGTCAGCCACTTGGCGCCCAGCTGGCGCGCGCGGTCGGGGTCCAGCCCGATGTGGCGCGCGAGGTCGCGCACGCGCACGCCCGTCCACTCGGCGGTGCTGATCGAACCTGCTCGGGGGCGGCGGGGCGTCAGCGCGGAATGAAAGAAGATAAGATACGCAAGAAAAGACGTAGGGCGTATTGCCCGGGAACGAACCACAAAATGCGTTATGAATCGAGACTACCCAATTCGGTCAAGTCTCCGCCAAGCAAAATTTCTGCTTCAAGCAAAATCTCAACAGGTTGCAGCTAGAAGAGGGCTCCCTGAGGTAACAGCACTTACAAGATCCCGGGCCGTCTAAAATTTACGAAACGTCTTTGTAGACCCTAAAGTGTCATCAAAGCTCTTCAGGAGTTCCTTAAAGAAACAACCGTTTCCAAAACGCCAGAGAGCTTAAGGGAAAAGGCAAGAACGTGAAATAAGCAGCCAGCCCACCCGCGTTCCACGGCGCGCGGCCCGACACTGTCTCCACCGCGCACATGTCGTTCCGCCGGTTCCCCGCGCACTGCAGCGTCACGGTGAGCGTCACCGCCTCAAACTTGTCCTTCAAATCTTGCACCGTCAGCTCCGCGCAAAACAGCTTCAAGTCGGGGTCGCCCTCGACTACGATCTTGTGCGTGTTGATCGTTCCTGCGTTGGCGGGAACTGGCAAGTGGTTCCGCACGTAGTGAATCTCGTTCGGTGTGATGAAACGGCTCAGCAGGACGCCGTGAGGGGGCTCGCCTGCAGGCCGGACGTTTTGGGGTGGTTAGATCCAAGAACGTTTCAGAGAGGAGGCTCAGGCCTTGAGAAGGATCTGAATCCACGGGAACGAGCTGTCTAATCAAAAAGCTTGCCGTAAAGAGGAAGCGCCTGGTGCGGTTATACGGTTTTCTTTTCAGTCCTTAACATGTTGAGTGTATGTTTCCGTTTTTGAGGGCAATTACCATACGAAGATGCTATTTGCGTTGGTTCCGCTCGCAAGCGGGCCCTTACGAAGCGGGCATGCGCCCCGCTCTCGCTCAACAAAAGCTGCGACGGCACGTGATGCTGCCTTTCCCGGGTGACTCTTTTGCTTGCACTTCTATCTCATTTTCTCCTCGTTATTTGCTTCGCTTTTCAGGCCGCCTTCCCTGCTGCCCTCCTCCCTTTTGACTCGATCACGACACACCGTTTCCTCTCTTGTTGCTCACCGTTGAATGGCTTGTAGCACTGCACCACGATGTCGGGCGTCCGCTGCGGCTCGTCCTTGTACTCGTGCTCCTGCTCCGGCTCCAGATTATTGGGGTCCACCGGCTGCATCACCGCGCCGCAGTAGTCTGACACCGCCTTGTTCAGCTCGCCCGGGGCAGTCTCGCGCTGGAGCAGGCCTGGGTGCAGATAACCGGAATGGGTTACGACGGGTTTGATATGTTTGCCGACAGAAAAGTAGGGTGGAATCCAGAGGCACTAGCTTGAGAGCGTATGCAGTTAAGCGGGACGCGATAACGAAGCTTCTGAGGTCGGGCGACGGTTTAGTAGACACCTCTTTGGGCGTGCTCTCATGCTCACCGAGGCGACTCACTTATCTTTGTCTGAGCAGGGCGGCGACACACTCCACTTGCACTTCTCAACAAGCTGCTGGTTAGAAACGTGATGACCTTGACTTCCCGTGAAACGGGGCAAGAATCCTACTGCATGCGAATGGCAAACTCCACGTTTGGAGCGCAGCTCGTGAATTTTTCCGAGTTCGCACAACAACAAGATTCGTTGTGTGGGACCGGTGCAGATACGACCGTCTCCCAAAGATCGACGAGATAAGGAGGACAACGAGCGGCCGCATGCCGAAGAGAGAAATGTCAGCGCACCGTTGTTGTTCCTTGCGCCGGTCGCTTCGACGATCCCGCCGATCGGCTCGTGAATCGGAGCATCGCCTGTAACAACCGGGGCGTCGACCGGGAGAAGCCTGCCCAGGCCAAGCCGCTCCTTGAGGACCTTCCTGGGGAATCAAAGGAATGGAGTACGTAGTAGTGAGTGAACGAAACGAAGGCTAAAACATACAAAGGCATTCACAGGTTTGGTGCATGATTCGGGGGGAATATAATGAGCGGGGGCCGAGGATAGTGACCGCTTTTAGCAAGGCGCGACTCCGACGTTGAGTAGACAGATGGATGTGTCGGGTAAGAGGAGAAGAGCTGGAGGAAGGCCATGGTCACACGCGAACCGACACGTTAAGTGTTTGGATCCGATGCAAAGTGTTAAATCACACATTCTACCTGGTCAAGGCATGCCGTATCTCAGTTGGAATGAGGCGCAATTCCTAACCGGAACAAACCATCTCAGACCTCGGCGCGGAGTCCCACTTCCGGGTCAACAAAAAACCGAAGTTAACGACGAAATTAACGACGATTTTGGCTGTGGTCGTGAGCGAGCCTTCTGGGTGCCCTTCGCCACTCGCGAGCAACTGTGGTTTATGACACAACGACTGGGTGCAGCGCTCGTTACCTGATCTTGTCCGGCGAGTCGAACTCGGCCTTCTTCACCTGGACCACCGTCAGATTCTCGTACTTGGCCAACTTCTGCACGAGGAAACGGGTCTTGAATCATCAAGCTATTTCTCTCGAAAAACAAATCTCCACGACCGGAGTACACTTCAGCCTCCCGACAGCTCTTCTGCGTCTCGTTCAAAATTCAGAGGTCACTCCAAGTAAGCCGCTGGCGTTATTCTGGTCAAGTGCGCAGATCCTTTCCGCTCGTCCAGTCAATCATCTGGACGAGCGGAAAGGTCGACCGAAGCGGATTAGCCGATCGCAAACGTTTCCATGTTTTGAGACCGTGGGAACTCTTGCAATTGGAAAACTCGACCTTCTCGACCCCTTCAAGACCCTTGGCAGATGTTTTCCGTCCCAACCTTTTCGACCTCCTCCGGTTCGTGGTGCTCCAGATTGATCAGCGTCACGCCCCGGCCTTTCTCGCCCATCACCGAGGCAAAGTGCCCCACTAGATTGAGCAAAATCTCGGTGTCCCAGGTTCCGGGGTTGCCCTCCGGGTTGTTAACTAGTATGTCGAGCGCGCCATGCCGCGAGAGCACGTTGAAGCACAGCTGGTCGACCGTCTCTTTGTTGTGCAGCTGAACCGGGTGGATGTCAACCGTTGACGGCGCGCCGATGCTGCCGCACCGTTTCGCGATCTGCAGAGCATCGAATGAAAGGACCCATTCTATTTGTGATCGGCCAAATAAATACATGTATCGACTCCATGTCGTCAAAAGTAAGATTTCAGCTATTGGGTTCTTTCGAAGGCACCTGATCATCAATGCTATGAGCCTCCCGGGTTTGAGTTTCTAGTGCCAATCGCCCTTCCACGTATATTCGTGGTTTTGGGGCTTGAACGCCGATATCACAATGGCCAGCAACGAGTGAAAGCAGTCTAGGTTGATGAATTCAGGTTTCGTGATAAAACTCTGTGCTTACAAGACTTCACTGACCTTGTGAGCACCTTTTCCATTTTAGGGGGACTCCCCTTGCACAGGTGTCATCCTAAAGCAAGTAGAAACTTGAGCTGAACCAAAACATCCCGCCATTAAAAATCTTCAGAGAAGTGATGTTTTGAACCTCTGGCCTTGGACTGTATGGGCTCAGACCCCATCCGAGCGATTTGCCAGAAGTTCTTTAGAATCGAGTGCGAAAAGGCACTACTGAAGAAGGTCGGTCAGTCTGACTAGCAGTTGAATTAGCTGCCAACTTCCGAAATTGATCCTGTAATTTTTCAGTATGGGGCCAGATGAAAGCTGCATTCTTCAATCTGACCTTATACGTAAGAACTCCTCCATGGCCTATAACCATCGCAGAACCGGAGTTGACTAAGGAGTCGGCCACCTTGGATTTGATCAATGGGGCTCTGACCCATGCATCGACTTCCAATCAAAGTACATGACCCCTCCTATTCTGACTTCAACTCTGCCCATTGACCATCAGAAAACTGCTGTTTAGAATCCAGACCAGAAAAGCTACCAGCTTACAACAGGATACAACCTTGCCATCCAGACCTGCATTTCACTGAGCGTTTTGCAAGCCCACACACTGATTAACCTGCACATAAGTGCACTGAGACAAAGGCCCGGGCCATTGGCACTCAAGGAGTAGGCTGCAGTGCTTCTGTAAAATGAGCCACTGAACCCTGTTGCTTGGAGATCGAGGGCCACTTCTGAGCAGCAATGTTAAAGTTCGTCAGCTTGGCCTTGACGCAGAAACGGCATTTCGTTTTCGCTGCTGAAACAGCACTTTGAGTTGTCTCTCCTCACCTTGCCCAGCTCGTCCCGCTGGCCCGTCTCGCCTACCAGGATCGGGCGCCCACCCTCTTCCGCAAAAGTGTAGGAGATGGTTCTGCCCAGCTCGGTGATCACCCCCGAGATGAGGCACACCAAAGGGGCCCGTGCCTGGTGGCCCGCCATGTCCCAGATCTATCCACCGATCCCAGGACCAGCCAAGCTTGTTCAGAGAACGCTAGGCGCGTTGTGCGTAGCTCTCCTGCAACTTATCTAGCCGCTTCGGAATCCAGCCAACACTTACTCGGAGAACGCCAGGCTCGTTGAACAAAGCTCTCCAAACTTATCGCTGCTGAATGGTGCGTACGCCAGCTGGCGAGAAACAAGGACATTCTCTGTTTGGCAGGCTGTCAAAAGTCACTGAATGCCTAGTCCTACAAGCAAGGTGGACTGCTTCTGGCGCTCTGAGATACTCGGAATCCTTACGTACAGCTTTCAGTAGCAACTTCGCATGCAAGTACAGGACTTATTAGCTGAGCGCGGCACTCACGCCGGTGGTCTGGCAGCCTTTCAGGTCAGTCAAAGGGCGCTTGCATTCCAGACTAGCCCTTACGATACCGGTACTGAACTTTGAAGCATCACCAGGCACAGAACATTTGCCCTCAGAATCCGGGACGAGCATTTATGATCTGCAGCTAGTGAGCTAGGGCGATTTGCATTCAATGCGCCTGCATGCTGCATGCCGCATGCATGCCACCGGCCGGCCACACGTGCGAGCTTGGCGACCGCGAACGCGGCCGCCCGGCGCGGCCCGCGCTTCAAAGGGGTTGGCAGCCAGTATATATACAAAGTTGCGATATGAGCCTATAGATATTAGTGTAGCTCTCGAGGGCGCAGCAGAAGCAACGGCCGCCACAGCGGCTTCTAATACGTGACCCACGTCGTTCTTGCAGGCTATTGTGTAGGCATATGAGGGGCATGGCCAAAAATGGTCAGTATCCGTTAATGCAGGTTTAGTCTTGCATTAGCAAACAAAGTCTGCAACCAGGTATATTCCTGTCTGCAACACTGAAATGAGGAACCTCAAACCTCCATGTGTTGTAGAAAGTCACGTCAGCTGCAGGTGAGACCCTTATCATCAAGTTGAGCTCCTCGCAAAAACCTGTGAGGGATTAGTATATCGATTCCACAAAGCTCAGTCCGACAATGTGAAGTACGAACGATTTCAACAGAGAAATTAGCGAGGTAGCAGAAACATAGTTCTGTTTGCAACGTCTTATGTGCAATGTCCCCTCGCCCCTCAGGAATTGTCGACATCTGTAAGAGTACAATACAAGACCCCTCGTTATGTACAAGCGTGCAACGCAGAGCTTCCAAAGTTACTTAGTCATCCAAGCCCACGACGGGCCGTTTCTGCCCGTCCTCTTCTTCGCCGCTCTCTTCCCCACTTTCCTCCTTCTCCCCCCCCACCTCGGCAGCCGGACCAGCACCCCCCTGAACCGAGACTTTCTGGTCCTTCCCGTTCGCCAGACCCACATCGAGCTTGCGGGTCTGTCGGTGGAAGAGTTCCGCGATGTAGGAAGGGGGCGTGGAGTCTTCCGGCTTCTTGTCCGGCCGCGTCTGCGCAAGATGGCCACGTGGCTGTGAGCAGACGTGTTGCTGACGTGTTGCTGAGCAGCTGCGTAATTGACAATCACCGCTTCCGACAGACACTTATACCCCGGTCATAACGGCCGAGCAAGAACAACTCACTGTAAATCCAAAGGTCGTTCCTCAACACTTTCAAAGCAGAACCAGTAACAAAACCAATCCGCGGGTTTCGGTTGCGGCCGCCATTATCACAAACCAACGTTAAGCCCTATGGGGGAGTCAGAGGCAAATCTCCCAACGACAATATAAAGATGATCACAAAAACACCTCTATCAAAAGTGCGCGACGTTGAATAAGTAAATTAAGGACGCGGCTCCCCACCTTGATCATACGCGGGAAGCGCATGGAGATGCCACGTGTCGGGTGCACCAGCCCGGCCGCGGCCGCGTGCACGGGCGACACGGTGAGGTCCGCCCCGCGGATCTCCCACACGTCGTGCGGACGGAACCACACGTCCGGCTGCTCCAGCGTCCGGTAGTACGGCGGCTTCTGGTCCAGCTGCCGCTGCTCGCGGTACAGCTGCGTCGTCTGCGGGGAAAAGGGGCGTAACTAGGGATGGGCTATTTTGAGGCGACTGCTGGTTTAGGATAATAGCTGGGTTGTCTGCAATGTTGCCGGGTAAGACAGGCCAGCTCAAGCCAGGCTAGACCCTGCTGACAACCCCTGAGTAGTCCTGGCGCCTTGCAGAGGTGAGAGGAACTTGGTTATTCTAACGGAAGAACCCCGCATCAACCAATTGCTTGGGTGGTAGTAGATGGTCTTGAATCATGATCTAGCACCACAGAGAGCGGAAGAGTGTACCCGAGCAACTATATTACGGGAGCGATAGAAGTCTGATGCCGTGCCCAAGAGAAGGTCTCAATTCCTTTATAGGCGGCGTCCGCGCAACCGGCCATAATAACAGAAAACCTATTGGCGCATCAAGAACGATGACGGTAGCATTGCGCGATTGAACAGTGCTTGGGGGAAGCTCCCGACCTCTTTGAAGAGATCGTCCGTGAAGCCGGACATGCTACCAGACTGGTCTTCGCGGCACATCAAGACATTTACGGTAGCGTTTGGGGCGTGCTCGGGGACTTCTACCGCCTTCTTTTCAAAAGACGTCCGTGAAGCCGGACATGCCACAGCAACAAACAAAACTTCGCGGTCGATCAAGAACGAACACAATAATGTTGCGCATTTGAAGCAGTGCTCGGGGTGAAGTCCCGACCTCTTTGTAGAAGACGTCCGTGAAGCCGGACATGCAGCGGCAGACGCTCTGGTACTCCTCCCGGTCGGGGTCGTAGCAGCCCAACAGGAACGGACTGAACCAGCCCACCTGCGGACACACCGGACGCGAGCTTGAGCATACGAATGACCGTCCGCACACGTGACGCGGCAATGCAAGGCCATTCCGACGCCAAGGGACAGTCAGACAATCCAAGTGGACGAACGATGGCAGCATTTAGTATAGACCCTTACTGGAGTTGATGTTTCCCTGTATTTTTTTGCATTCCTGCGTTCTAACCTATTACTTTCCTGGCGGCCTCCTATGCAGCAACTCAACCGACTGGAGACAACGGCGGCCTCAAAAGTTTACTTACGGGTTGCTCTTTTCATCAACGGACTCTGGCCGGTAAATTGCCGAATCCAACGATGTGCCGAGCAACATCTTCACCTTGCAGATTGCCGTGATGGCGGAAACAACGCCACAGGACGTGGAAGTACAGCAGACCATCATGCCCTCTGCGATCCTGGACAGCGACACTATTGAAACCATTGGTCATCCGAAAAAGCGCCTTACCTTTCGGCCCTGGCCGTACCAGGCACCAATGGGCACCAAGTCCAAGGAGTCGTTCAAACCCTCGATGTAGTCCTTCTTCACCTGCAAAAGGGTAACCGGTACTTGAGCCGACACTCGTACCTTTGCAAACGAAGTCGATTGCGGAGCCAATTGGCCATGGAGCAATCACAACTTGGGAGACAAACAGCACTAAGAAACCTTCTGAAGTCTCGAAGTCCCGAAATGCTCGTAGAAAGCTCAGACACCTAACTTAAGCCGCGTCTTTCCGAAAGAGGGACAGAAAGCCATGTGAATCTATCATCAAACCCGAACTCTCAATTCCCGAAAGCTCCACGTGTCAGAGCGCGCAGAAAAGGCGCACCTTGAGCCAAGAGTCGCTGCGCTTGCTGGCGGCGTACCCCGCGTCTTTGTCGAGCGCTTTCACCATGATGCCCTCGCACGACGCCGCGAAGGCGTCCTGCAAAAAGGTCTGCAGCAGGGACGAGGTCGCCTCCAACTCGGGGTCCGACTCTGGCTCCTCCACCTGCAACAAAAAATCCTCGCCGCTCTAATTTCCCGCAATTGATGCTGGCTGGCGTTTGTGACGTGAGCATCTAGAAAATCCGGTCGTTTTAGAGGAAGTTCTGCGGTGATACTAATCGATCGGCATGGCGCCTGGATGAGGCCTGCCCAACGGAATTGCGCTCACTTCAGGGGCATCGCGAGCAACTGCCAGAGTTGAATCTCTATCCGGCGGCATACGTCACCCCGCCAACCTCAAAGTCAAATTTTGAAAATTGGGTACCAAACTGCCAAGCCGACTTTTCGAGACCGTCAGACTTCAAGAATCCGCTCTCAAATCCTGAATGACAAGAATCAGCAGGGTAACCCACCGTCGCTTCCCGCGCAAACTCGAAGTGCCCCGCCGAGTGTTTCGGAAACGCGGCGTGCATACGTCGGCGCCGCTCGCGGAACGACTCCTTCACCAGCGCCTGTCCGTCGACGAACATGAGGTCGAACGCGAAGACGCACACCGCGATCTTGACGTCAGCCAGCTCGATCTTGGTCTTCTCACCGCCGCGCGCGCGCGTGCTGAGCGTCTGGAAGGCCATCAGCTTGTTGCCCGCGCTGCGATCCACCGCGACCAACTGCGAAGCAGATTGGCATTTGCAAGTCAGCCGCTTGCGAAAGACTCAGCCGGGCCCTCGATGACGCTCCTTGATTCAGTCATTGCGAGCTGGAGCGCTCCAAAACCTCTCGCCAGGGCGGAAGAACATTGCTGCTTGCCAGTTCATGATGATGAATTTTGTGATCCGGGAGAGCCAGAGAACCGTTGTTCAGGGGCCGTTCACAAGGAGAAGTAAATTTGCTGGTTCGACCTCACCTTGACTACTCATAGCGCTATCGGCAAGCTTCTGATTAGACGCAAAAAATCTTCAACATTCGACACCGCCGAAACGTCCGTACAAGAGACCGTACCTCAGCGTCGATGATGAAGGACGAGCAGCCGCCACGTGCAGCCTGCTTGACGGTCGCGATGACGTCAGGGAACTTGGCCGTGTTGTCATCGCAATTGCGGGAAAAGATGCGCACCGTCCCGTCCGGCAGCAAGTGGATCTGCGCGCGCTGTCCGTCGTACCTGCGGACAAGCAGACGAGATGACGTCCGGTGTTTGAATATCCTCCCGGAGAGGCTAGACGACGGGAAGACTGCGGACGCACCTAGGGCCAAAAGCTTTTGCGAGACGATACTTCATTCTGTCGGCCAATGCTAAGTCCCAAACGATGAAAGGATGTTACAAAAACTGTTGGCGCTTCTTGAGTTCGTGAGTACCAAAACAAGACAGGACTGCATACACCGACAGGAAAGGCGACAAATTTTTCAACGGCTGACAGATTGTTTTCTCTATGGCCGTTTGAGTGGGAGATTTCCTGAGCATGTTTCCAATGCCTGTACGTAATACAATCACATCATCTGGGACCTCTAAAAGTTCTCACTTGAACTCGGCGGTGAAGGCCTGGCTTTGGAACCTTTTGAGGACCTCCGGGATGCCGTTGGTGATCTTGGCGAGCATGGGCTTGATGGGCGTCCCAAGGGCGACCGCGCCCTGAGCGATCACTGCCTCGATGCCGCCCTCCACCAAAGTCGGCACTAGCACGTCCTGCGAATAGATACGCGACGTATAACTTTCTGAGGACGTACAATGTCCGCTGAAAATAAGAGCATACGGTAAGAGATACGTCTCACCCGCCTTACGCGCTTGCAGCGCTGAGCTTCCGGAAACGAACGTTGGTCTTCAAAATGTCTTACTTGTGTGATTGACCTCATCGGCACATTGCGGCTATGGGTACAAGTCGTAAAGGAAGGGCCCAAATTGACGTACTCTAAGGCGTTGGGGTTAACGAACGGGTGTTGACAAATGAGTCGAAGGCAAAACGGATTTAGAAACTGATCAGGAAAAAATCAGCTCAAAAGTCCGGACTCAAAATCAGCACAAACCACCATCCGGCACGCACCAGGTTCGGACAAAAGTTGTACGCCTCAACGACGGCCGCGGACGCTTCCTGCAGCTTCGATTTCAGGCCGTTGATGGCAGGCCCGGCGGGGGCATCGGACGGCAGGGATTTGTGGATGACCACAGCTTGGGCCAGGGCGGGGAGCACGGTCTTCATCATGGCGCCGATGCGCATGTTGAGGATAAGCGTGCGGACCACAAACTGCGTCTCTTTCTCGCGGCACGCGCGCAAAAGTCCTAGCACAATGTTTTTCTTCCGGTTATTGCACCCCGGGCCGGTCTCCTTGCTGCACGGGATAAAACGGGGATCAGATTAATAGCATCTTCGAAGTTCACAGTGTCCTTCCAGATTTCAGGCTTTTCTGCGTGCTTGACGCGAAGGGTCTCACCTACGAACGAAACCTTTGAAGGCAGAGTTCTAGGGGGCTTTACGAAAATTTTGAAGTGGGACATTATGCACGGTGAAAAGACTGCTTGCGGCCTGTCAATCCCCTGGCTCTGCTTAACGTCGATAAAAGCTTGAGACCCGTTGGCTACATGATACTTGCACGGACAGGTTCTGGACAGGTTCTCTTCCAGCCCCATCTCAACTGGAGGCCGACGACTTTCGTTAAACCAGTTAGCTCCAAAATCGCCTACAGAAGAAACTTTCTTTACCGGGCTTGACAGCCTCCTTACGGCCGACGAGCTGGTTCCCACCATTCTATCCCGAACGTTGCTCACAAGCCCACCTGATCTTACGCAGCGCCCGGTAGACCTGCGCCACCCGCAAGGGGGGCGGCGCCATGAGCGTCGCCTGGCGCTGCTTGCACGCGAGCGCCACGTCACCCAGATCCCCCAGAGAGTTGTACAGCTCGCGCATTTGCGCTTTCGACGTGCCGGTAGCTTCGGCGATGGCTGCCCCGACTGTGCTGCCCCCTATGCTCATGTCGACGTTCTCGAAGTCGGGGGCGACCCGGTTGGTGGACAGGTACACGGCGGGCAGAATGTCGTCCGGAGAAAGCGCGAGCAGGCTGCGGGTTGATTGAGAGGGCAAGGGGATTAGCAAGAATGGCACGCTGAGTATGTACTGATTTCTAGAGGTTGAAGATAAAAGTCGGTCGTAAGGGAAATCAGCAGACAGTGGCACCCTGATCAAGGACTGCTTTCCTAGAGATTGACGATAAGATGCAACAACCGTAGTCTTACCTGCTGAGCTTGTGGAGAAACCAACCGGATCCCAGGCCCAGCAAACAAAGCACTGAATGGCTACTTTGGTTAGAATGAGCTCTGCGAAGTTGTAATTCCGGCTACAAAAACTTGGATCCCTTCCGGAGATCCTCCTCCGGAAATGCTTGGAGGCTCATAACAAAACTCGTAGCTGCATGCTCAAAAACAATTTCGGACTCTCACGCACCTCCTGAACATGTTGCACAGGATGTCCGCCATCTTGAGGCGGCCCCGCTCGCGCTCCAGGATCTCAAAGGTGCGCGCCAGGTGCAAATACGGCGCGGCCTCCCCGCGCGTCCAACACGCTGCACAGAAGGCAGAGTCCAGTTCGGTATCAGACCGTGGTGTGGTTGAGGTAAAGTTCCACTTAGGTCCCACATTGTCCCGGACTTCGTCGGAAAACAAGCAGCCATGGAACGCTTTAGCGATTTGGCAGACCCATAATCCATTGCTCGTCACCGCATGTCCATACTTAAGTGGATCGGAATTGACAGGCTAAACAGTGACTCTACTTTCGGCGCACTCAAGGAGCGGTGTACTTCTCCCGCTATTTCGTCGATGCAAAGAGGGAGGTTTGCAACACCACTGATGGCTAGAAGTTGTGGCAGTCCACTATGGGGGCCTTGGCACAGTCAATCAGCAGACTGATTCACGGTAGGCCGTGGTTTTACGAGGAGCCACTTACCGTGTCCAATCGGGTCGTACTTCGCCAATGAGAGCGTGACAGCTGTCCTCTCGCTCTCACTCGCGCCCAACTTCCCGGTCGCCACCACGCCCCCCAGCTGCCTTTCGGAAGGAAGAACCTTGTTCCCCTTCTCGACTTCCTTGGCCCCATTTGCACCCCCCTTTTCTTCGGCAACCTCTTCCTTTTCTCCCCCCTCTTTAGAGTGCTCGCTATTTTGCGTCTGGCGCGCCTCTTGAGACTGTCGCACCTCTTGAGACTGCTGTTTGCCGTTCAGTTGCGACCCAAGGTCCCCGTCCCGCGGCGTCTCTGCGCGTGCGACGTGTTTGGATACACCATCCTCCTCTTTCTCTTTCGGCGGATCAACCTCTTCCGGAGACTTTTCCGCAAGAGCTCCCTCCTCCGTCGAACATGCCCCACCCTTCGCTTCTTGAGGCCCTGTAGCGACCCCATCCCGCTCCCCAGAAGCATGCGCCTTGCTGTCCCCTCCCCCCGTAACAGGCCCCTCCCGACTGTAAAACAGATCCAGCGCACGATTGACGTCACCCTCTGCTTCTTTCAGCAGAGCTTCCGCTTCCTCCTTCCCCAGACCGCCATCTAGCAGCCCAAGCAACTGACCCACGTTGGCTTCCAGGGACGCTGCCCCTTCTCCATCCGACTCTGTCCGCTCCCCCGCTTCTCTTGCTTCTGGATGCTTCCCTCCAAACTTATCGCCACCTTCTTTTGTATGTCCGCTCTCCATCCCATTGGTTTTCGCCCCACTGAGCCCCTTCGCCCCCATCGACGGCTGCTCTTTCTTCCCCCCGCCAAAGAAGCTCAAGATCGACGGCTGCTGCCGGTCCGTTTTCCCTTTCTTGGCGGCCCCGCCACCGGCCTTCGAAGCCGACGCCCGTTTTCCAGCAACCTGACTCGCCACTCTTTTTCTTGCAGATACGGGCGTTCTGGGGGGGGTCCTCGTCTTCCCTGCTGCAGGCTGCGGAGCGCCCCCCCCTTTCGGACTCGGACTCGCTTCGGACGTCCGGTCCCTCCTGTCCGCCGTCTGCAGAACGCTGGGACCTTCGTCAGCCTCGTCCCCCGTAGCCCCTTGGATGACGTCAACACCAGCGTCGGCAACCGCGTCAGCAGCCACGTCAGCACCCGCATCCTGCCGCTCACCCTCCTCCTCATGTTCTCTTCGCAACTCTGCTTGTTTGACATTACGATCCTCTTCCCCGCCGTTTCTCTCTGCATCCGTTCGCCCCTCCTTCAAATCTTCAGCTGGTCCCCCTTCCGCATGATTAGCCGTGACTTCCTCTGCGCACCCCCCATCGTAGAACCAGGTCACCGCCCCTGCAACGTCCCCCCCGGCGCGTGCCAGAAGCAACTCCGCCTTTGCGGCGGTCATTCCGGGCAGGATTGCGCGCAGTTGTTCTACCTTTTCAAGACTCCCATTCCCTTCCCCCTCAGACTCTCTCTGGCTCTCTTGGGCATGCTCGAGCGTTTCTTCCTTTACCCCCTTTTCCTCTACCTTCCTTTCTGCACCTGCGTTTGGACCAACAGTGTTGACCGGCGGGTCAACCCCCTGCAGCGCCTGCTTGTGAGCCTGTATCCAGCTCAAGCCCTCCCCGGAACCCTTACCTAAATCTCCGTTTGCCACGTCCTCCTTTCTCTCGGGTTCGTCTTCCGCTGCCTCAATTTTCACTTCTGCCTTGACAGCCTCCTTCACTTTCGGCTTGATCTCAAGCGTCGTTCGCTTCGGAGCATTTCCCTTGCTCTTCTCCCCGTCAAACTTACGTTTGCCACGTCTGTTCAGCACAGGCGTCAGACGCCCCGGGAGGGGATCCTTTTTCTCAGCAACTAGAAGCGGATCCTTTTCCGCTTTCTCCCCGCCCTTCAACTTCGAACCCCGCTTTGGTCGACCCCGCCCCTTCCCGGTCTCCCCTTCTTCGCCGCTGACGTCACCTTCCGACCTGCTGACGTCAGCTTCCGAATCCACGTAATCCGGATCGTCTTTCGCCTGCACCTCTTCTTCCGCCTCGTCACTCTCGTCAAGCCCGTCCTCGTCTTTGACCGTGAGGTCCTGACACGTGTCATCCCGCTCAACAGGATTCTGGCACGTGTCCTCATCCACCACATCAACGGCCAGCTCTGCTGCCAGCTCAAGCGCCGGCGGCTTGCTTCCCGAGCCGCTCCTCTGGAAGCTCCGCAGGAATCGCCGCTTGCCCTCGGTCTCATCGACCAAATTCCTGTATGAATCAGATTGGAATCCAGATCGAAACTGGTTCCGAAGAGAAGTTGCTTGGGTACTGTGCGTCAGAGACTGGAATCACTGGTGAAAGTAAACGCGCAGATGAAGTGGAAAATGAAGAATACGAAAAGAAGGCTTTCCACGGATCGTTTGCTGGTTATTTTCGCACTGCGTGATCTGAAAATCGATTTCGCCCACAGTGACAACATGAACGGCTCTTCTGGGTCTTTTGCTTTGCGAGCTATGCAAAGCCTTTATATCCTGAACAACCAGCCAACTCAGCCATACAAAGCCGGCCCACCTTGCAGATTCTCCATACATTGAACAAACTCAGGCAACTTCGAAAGAACTAGAGCGAGCTCAGTCCCGCCCACCTGAAGTGCTTCCGCATGGCGGCGACCGCCTTGCCGTCCATTCCCTTTTCGTCGACGCCCACCGTCGGGATGATCTGCTTCGGCTTCAAAAAGCTGACGTACTCCCTGAGCTCAGCATAGTTGCTGTGCTCGCTGTACGGCACCAGATGAATTTTACACCGGCCCTTCTCCCGGGTGGGAAACGCCTTCTTTTTCAGCTCATACGTCCACCCGGTTGGCACAAAACCGACCGCTTTTTCGTACCCCCGTTCGTCTAACGCCTGCTCCATGTTGGTGAAGTTCGCCCGGAAGAAGGGCCACGCGTCGCCCAGAAAACCCCACCCCACCACGTGAACGTTCGTCTTGCTCGAATCGTTCGTAAAGATCGAGAGGTCGTTTAGCCCCAAGCAGCGCAGGATCTTGATCTTGCGCTCGTCCACGTAGATCTTGCACCCGCACCGGTGCGCTACAGCGTACAGAATCTTCTCCTTCCCGATGACGTATGTTGCGATGATGAACAGGGGCGGCCGCGGGCAGTCAGTGGAATCCACTGGCTGCGCAAGTACCCGCTCGAGAGGCGACGCTTCGCCCTCAGGGGGATCCCCCGACCCAACCCCTTCGCCATCCCCTGCCGGGTTGGTCTCTGCCGCTGCTCCGCTATTGGGTTGCTCTTTGATCCAGGCGTCGTATTCGGCCCGCCATTCTTGCATACGAGCTGCGACCGTTGCGGCTATGTACTCAACGGACGCCTCTTGAAGGGGGAAGACGTAGCGGGGGTTGCAGTACGTGGTGTCCTGAGGAGGAGACAATAGGGACCTTTGCAAGCGGACAAGTGAGTGAGAAACACAGAAGTCAGGACATATCTGAAGAACCCAAAACCAAAAAAACTCTCCTTGAGCTAAAGCCCTGTTTGAGTGTGCCTTAAGCCACAGAACGAAGTGACAAACACAAAATGGCAACTCTGTCAGACGAAACGAGGTTGCAGATTTCAGATTGAAGGATCCGAATGCATAGCCATCAGGCGCTTTGCTGGCGTCAGGAAGTCAAGTAATCAGAGAAAACAACTCAGCACGTCCATCTGGCCCCATCGCCTGATCCAAAAGGACTTTCGTCGGCGGCAAAAATAGGCCCAACCCTCTCCACCAAACAGGGCAGCGCCCTCGTTTGATATACATAGAGCGAGGGATTCTTAAACGTAGACCGAGACTTGAAGCGCAAGCGGTCTTACCAGGTAGACGGCATCAGCCCCAACATACGGTGCCAAACAGGGATTTGCGGTCATTTGCGTGCAGAATCGCATGTCCCCACAGTGGACGTAGCGCTTCTCCGGAGCACCCGGAATGCGAAACAGGAACTGGATCGCCCCAGGGCAGTGATTCGCATCTGCGTCAAAATCAATAAAATCTCTGAGGGAGGTGGTCCTAACGACGTTACAGTGGTATTCGTGGAACCTGTCGCGAAGTTGTGGAGGACCGCAATTGTGTGCACAATATCGGCGCGGCCTTGCCTTGCACGATCAGTGACGTCATAAACGCCAATCGGAAGCCTCAGCTTCGATTCAATCGGGAATCGACGGCTTGAGTTTCAACGTTTTGCTGGTGGCGTCATTGATTGTGCACGGGGGTCGCACCAATTTACCCGTGCACCTAAGTGCTCCGCTCATACATTCCATGACAAGTTTCATGCAAACTGCTGTAGCCGGTCAGCTATGCAAGTGCTGCAAGTGAAGAAGACGAAGAAGGCACCGGAAAGCTACACTTGGTCGGCCAATCGTCCTTTCGACTCTCGAAGGGGCCACTTACAAGGGGCCTTATCCTTTGTCTCCATAGGTGATTAACATGTTTCACACTAAGTGCCACGTTTCAGCCACAACTTGGACAAGGAGTGCAATCGATCCTCCTCGGTGCTCAAACCACAACTTGGAAGCCTAACACCCGAGACAAAATTCTTTGCCATTTTCCAACTACATCAACTCACAACCCCAAAACGGGCACAAATCCTGTCTGCTCGTAAGCAGCCAACAACACACTTCTATCTATTGACCAGACCACCCCTCGTGGCGGACCCCTCCCTTTCCGAAGACCAAACAGTACAAACGACAAGTTTTTCCACAAGAAACATTACCGACAGTCAGTAGAGTCGCCCACCTATGAGCGTCACCCCGCAGCCGTCGATTTCCACCTCGCGGTCCATCGGCAGCGGGACTACGAAGTGTGGGGGCACCTCCAAGACTTGGACGACCATGCGGGCCGTGGTCTCGGAACAGAAGATGACGCCCTTGCGCCAATTGTCGGTGATGCCTTGATAGTGGTCACTGCAAGGAGGGACTGGCTTGAGTGACTTTTCTCCGCGTTTCAGCGTTTGTGAGTCGGCATTTCAGCTTTGGAGAAGCAACGCGGTGCTAGCTTGTAGATTTGAGTTCTGCTCACATAGGCTGAGAGGTGGGACGTTTGGAATGATCGAGCGACGAAACAACGTCCATATCCGGTAACACAAGTCCTTTTCAATCACCGTATCAAACAATAGGGTCCTACTGCTTTTGCAATCAGACTCTTAGAGTCACAGCTCAAACTGAGACACCAGAATGAGAAAGGACAGCAACAATAACGGAGCTAGTCATTGGAAAGATCAGAAATGATCGGTCTGCTCAACATGGGGCAGCAATGTCTTCTTTCCAAACAGGCAATTCTCAACTGCAACTGGCAATGTTACTTGCTGGCATCTTTGCTCTCGTATGTACTGACCGGCACTTTGAACTGCAGAAAGAAAGACAAAACACATGCAATATTCCTCACCTGTGAAAGTGCGTCAAGAAGTAGCTGTGACTCCATGCGCCCGCCACACGGAACCCATCAACCACAAAGCGGGTCCCTGGGAGCCTCTTATGGGACGGAAAGGTGGGCGGAAAGCCTGTAAGACTGCCCGGTACATCAATTCCCGGGCTCTGCTCCTCAGCATTGTCCCTGAGGCTGGGCGACCGGTCGAATGCCCTGGGCACTTTTGGCTGATCAATTTCAGTTGGGGGGCTAGGCACACCGCTGATAGGTTCTTTCTCTTCAGCAGAAGCAAGGCGCTGTAAATCGGCCCTGGCCTTGTCCAGAGCGGCGGCATAGAGACTTTCGCTGTCCATTTGCAGCACGCGGTGAGCAACAAAGTCAAGCTTCTACAGGATGCTGCAAGAAAGGGTGCCTCCGTTCCACGTCCTGCATGCCCTCCTCAAATCATAGGTTGATTCGCCCTCCATTTTGCCGCCACCGCAGATTTCAACTCTCCCAATTGCAGAGCGCTCCCCTTCAGACGAAGCCTCGAAAGAAGATGGCTAGGGAAAGTAAACTGGGCGCCATTCAAGTTCTCTCATGATCAGGTGCCTCCTTGCCTCACTGCAAGGCTACCGTGACGTGGCCGGCTGTACGAGGTACAGAATCACTTGGAGAAGACGGAACGAGTTGAGCGTTACCGTAGCTTGATCCGAGAACCGGCGGACCCAGGCAAATCTGACCGACGTAAATACCTAGGCTCCGGATTTTGACGACCGCTTTCGCGCGACGCGAAAGCGGTCGTCAAAATCCGGAGTGCGGTAACCTTAAACCAGGTAAGGTAGCAGGTCGGACACGGAGGGATCATCCAGCCACTTGGCATGGCTGAGGGCTCCCGTTACGTCAGCACACTTTGAACAGTTCGCTGCGCTAGGATAGCATTTTAACTTGCAATTGCCTTCTTGTTCAATGTTCGATTCCATGCAGGTACGTCCATCAGTCCATGGCTGACATGCTGGCTTGCAGTATCAATCTTAGCTGGAGATGAAAGCTGAGGATATCTCTCGTTGGCCTTAAGGACAAGCTTGCCGCAAGTCAAGGAGGGATTCCCCTCAATCTGACCTACAAGTCGCCCCTCTTATCAGAGACCCTGAATGACGAACTTTGATAATGTCAAGGTGGCTTCATACAACCGTAAGGTTACAGACCGGAGATAACCCAGCTGGTGTCGAAAGGGGCCAAGACCTTTGTCCAAGTCACAATCACATCGGCCTATTCCAAGCAATTCCTTTTATATTCTGCAATGCGGAAAAATAGGGTTCAAGCTCCAGTAAGGCACCTAGAGTGACCGCCCTAATGTTGCAGGGGGTCAATCTATCCTTGAAGCCAGCGAATTCATTGAAGCCGCCTTATAAGTGAATATGGAATGAGAGTGAGCTGACCGCATTATGGCGCAGGGCCCCTTTGGGCAGCTGCTGAAGGCATTGGGAATCAGGCTGTCATCCCAGGTCAACATAAATGCGCCTGTGGGAGCAGCACATTGGCACAACGCTAGTAGAGTCCTCTCTAGTACTGCTGCTCTTAAGAATCAAAGCAACACTTCTGCGGAGGCCAGTCTGCATTGTAATCTGCACAATGACAGGTCCTTTCCTGAGTCTCCCCGCTTCTGGCCTGCTTCTCGCTGCGGTTCAGTACCTTGGTTACAGGATCGTAGTAGACAAGCTCACAGTGCTTCCATTCCACAAAAAGGGGATGATCAACAAATCCTCTTGTCTCAAAGCCATGTGATAGGTCCCACCAATATCCCTCTCCTGGAAACAACAATTGGCCAAAAGTTCACTGAGACCGCAGCCAACTTTTCCAACCATGTCGCCCTAATCTCAAAGCAAGAAAACGTTTGCTATACTTACGAAGAGTTGCTCAAAAGGGTCACCGCCTTAGCCAGCGGGCTCGCCAGACTGGGCTTAACCAGAGGAGACAGACTGGGTCTGTTTTCTCCTAACCACGCGGCATGGGTTGTGACGCAGTTTGCAGCTGCAAAGCTGGGTTTGATCCTGGTCAACCTAAACCCGGGGTATCAGAGCTTGGAGCTGCATCAAACAGTCAGAAAAGTGGGTTGCAGAGCGCTTGTGGTGGCTGATAAGTATAAGGGTAAGAGCATGATAGAGACCTGTGAACGGGCGTTGAAGTGGGACACAAGGGGGGGCACCGGAAGAGTGCGCTCAGAGGAGGTGCCTTCTTTGGAGCACATTTTGACACTAGGTGAGGTTCTGAACGTTGCAGAAGCGGTGCCAACTCCTCATGCTTGTCATCAACTGAAAGTCTTGTACAAAGGCATCCAACCTCGCTCCTACCAGCCAGGTACAGAATGTGGGTATCAGGATTGTTTGTTATGGCAGAACAGTAACCAGCTGACCTTGCTGGAGAGAGTGTATTTCCTTATGGAGGCTCGAATGTTTAGTCGTGAAACGTGAGGAACGAGTACAAGAGAAACCAAACTTTGCAAACCCCGAGCTCCCTAGCGCTCTGCATCCTTCTCCGCCCACCTCTTGTTTGGCCAATATCTGGTTTGGAATCGAAGTTCGCGCTTGTCAGCATCTGCAGTCTCGCAAAAAACTGGCACTTTGAGCTGGATCGAAAGCTGCTCAAATATTGCTTCCTGCTTCTTGTTTCAATGACTTGTGAAGCCTGCATCATTGAAATTGAGAGATAGGAGGAGGAGAGAACAGTGTCGGTTCTCACCTAAGCAAGCCAGGAGGTATATTCTGCTTCGTATGAAGGTGTTAAAGAAGGAGTTTCCGTTACTATTTAGGGAGATAGGACTGAATCAAAATCCTTTTATTTCAGGCGAACAGGGGGCGCCCGGCCTGCTGGGACTGAATGACGTTATGGACTTGGCAACGACCGCGGACGAAGAGGCGCTCAAGCGAGTGGAGGCTTCTAACGACCCTGATGACGTCATCAACATCCAGTTCACGTCAGGCACGACCGGTCGGCCCAAGGTGTGACGCAACTCACTCAAATTTGATGTATCCGTTTGAGATTCAGCCCATCCTTACGGAACGCGGTGAGGGCAGGCGCCAAAGTCCGCGATGATTGACTGGCCGCCAAAGTTTTTAGCGAGTATTCGGTACTTTGCATTTTCGTAGGTGTCTGTCTCAAAGCCTGTCTTCGAAATTTGGTCGGCGTTGCATGCCTGGTTGACCTTCGGTAATAGTCGTAAGGGTGTCTTTCTTCAACAGTACTTGATCCTAAAAAGTTGCCATAACGCATTCCCGTGGTCAGCCGTTTTATTGACACCAGCCCAAGCTGTAGGCCGAGCCACGTGGACAGCAACCAGATCGGCGCTGCCCACTTATCACTGCTGACCTCAATCTTGATCTCATCTTCATTCTTCTCATTTTCCAAAACTTACTTTAGAATCTTACCTCCTTGATTCCCGTGTATCCCATTTCCGCTGCTACAGTAAGATTGACGTATCCTTGACGTCAATGTCCCGGTTCTTAGGGCGCGTGCCTCACTCACCGGAACATTTTGAACAACGGCTTCCTGGTCGGGCGCCGCATCCTGCTCTCGGATGCCGACAAGATCTGCATCCCCGTTCCGTTCTACCACTGTTTCGGTGAGCGGAGCGGAACGCCGGAAGATCACCCTTCGGCGACCTCCTGGCTGGTTTCGGTCCAATGGACGAACTCGAAACATTGTTGCAAACATCCCCTCCCGAATCAAGTGAAGTGTCAGTTTGACTGGCCTCCTCTTCGGTAGCGAGTAGGTTGAGTAATACTTGAGTGCGCCAAGCGATTGACTGCCAACCTTCATCTGGGATCCCGTGTCAATGAGGCAAAACAATTTGGCGTGTGCAGGCATGGTGATGGGTAACTTGGCGGCCATTACTCACGGCGCCACGATGGTCATCCCGTCACCGGAGTTCGATCCACTGGCGACTCTTCAGGTGACCGATCATTGCCATTTCTTATACATCTACTCATCGCTGCAATCCGGTACAAGGAGTGGAGTTAGTGATATTCGCATAGTCCAAACCCTTGGTTCAATACTCGTTGAGACATGCGCCAATTAAATGTGCTGTTAAGAGCAACTTCTACTTATTGACGCCGATTTTTCCTGCTAATAAACGTCGATTTCGCTAATCGTTTTTGCCAAAAGCTGCCGGTGTTTCTTGGATAGACGACGACTGAACTCTTTCTCGTCGGTTGCCGGTAGTTGTTGACAAAGGTTGCAAAGATACGTGTTGGAGGCTGTTGTGCACCCGTATTGAGAATGTCAGTCAGCCGCAATGTTGGCGAAGCGCAGGCGCGAAGCAAAAGACTCACTATCACACAAAGTCAGAGGAAATCATCCTGTTGCGGAAAGCAAGTTCTATAAAGAAAGAACTCAGTCTCTCCGATCACGCATGCCTTCTCATGCATCAATTGGTGACTCACAAGACCAAACCGCGCGCGCGCAGGCCGTCCACCGCGAGCGGTGCACCGCCCTGTACGGCGTCCCGACCATGTTTGTGGCGGAGCTGCACCACCCGGCCTTCCCCCGGTTCGACTTGTCCAGCCTGCGGACCGGAATCATGGCCGGTTCACCCTGCCCGGTGAACGTCATGCGCCGGGTCATGACCGACATGCACATGCGCCAGGTGGGATGCCGCCACGTGTCCACGACTTGAGTGCCGGCTGCCCACATGTAAACGAAAGATTGCGGTCAGAAAGTTGCTAATGTGTTTTGACAATTTGCCCCTGAAGTCCTGTTCAGATTCTTGTTCGAGATCCTTACTAAGTCTCGCCCCGCACAAGGCAACTGGATTCCTCCGGCAGGTGGAATGTTGCATGCTTTGACTTGAAGACAGGACACCAGTGAATAGGAGCCTGGTTACACTTTTGGTGCCACAATCTGAGCTCCCGTCGGTGCGGGCGGCTGATTGAATCCGCCTTTCTCCTGCTCCCTGCTCAAGTCTCCAAACAGAACGGAACCGCAGCTTTGGATATTTCCAATTCTGAACCAGCTGCTTTTTGCACCTCTGAAACTACGAACCGTCAATAAGCGTCATTCCTCTCATTAGCCGGCAAACACGAGGATTTTTTTCGAGGCGTCCTTTGAGGTTGATCAGTCCACGCAGGTTACGATCTGCTACGGCATGACCGAGACAAGCCCGGTCAGTTTCCAGACGACCGTGGACGACCCGGTAGAAAAGCGGCTGGAAACCGTGGGCCGGATCCAGCCTCACACCGAAGCAAAAGTAGTTGACCCGGAAACCCGGGAGGTTCTTCCGGTGAATACCCCCGGGGAGCTGGTGGTTAGGGGCTACTTAACCATGAAAAGTTACTGGGACGAGCCGGAGAAGACGAGGGAGGTTAAGGATGACGAAGGCTGGGTTAGCACCGGGGACCTGGCGGCGTTTGACGAGCGAGGCTACTGCTCGATAACCGGCAGGATCAAGGACATGGTTATCCGAGGCGGGCAAAACCTGTTTCCAAAGGAGATTGAAGGTAGGTATGAATATTGCTCGGAGGAGTGCCGTGCTTCGGAAAGGTAGTCGTCTATGTAAGAACACTCTTCTGCTGCTATTTGGGGACGGATTCCCGCAACCAAACTTCGCTCCAGTTTTGTTAAGATGTGGTATGCTCAACTTTTCGTATGAGAAGTTCCCCGCCGGCCTTAGCTTTCCCTCTGCTCCCTACTGAGTCCTTTCACATCGTTGGGATCTCCAAGGCTTGTATACAGTTCTCGTGTTTTGAGTAAGGAGTACGCCAGCGAAAACACGTCAAGGAGGCTTTGGAAAGCGAGCCGAGCGACTCGTCAACTTTGCTGCACGTCGTATCTTTTCAAGTTCTTCGTAGTCAGACCCAAGTTCAATCACTTCGTCCACGATGAGCCGATCACCTGTGCACTTCGCTCAAGGACCACCTTTTCTTGGCACGTACTGACCATCTTGAATCGAAGAGCCCCAAATCATTCAGACTTTGACTCCCGTCTATAGCATTCAGAAGAGGCCGTTCCGTCGTTCTTAATCCCGTTCCTATGTGGTGCTGGGAACGACTACTTCAGAATTAACCCGAAGCCCTACTGTTCTCTAAACAACAAGCTCACACGTTCCTTGTGCAGATGTAATTCATACACATCCAGGCGTCGAAGACGTCCACATAATCGGCGTGCCGGATTCATACTACGGTGAAGAACTTTGCGCTTGGGTCAAGGTAAAAGAGGGCCAAAAGTCAACACCCGACGATATCACGAGCCACTGCCGGGAGAGGATAGCCCGGTACAAGGTGCCTCGGTACGTGAAGTTCGTCGACGCCTTCCCGATGACTGTAACCGGGAAGGTGCAAAAGTATAAGATGCGGGAGGTGAGCGCCAGAGAGCTGCGGGCTGAAGCCCTTGGGTCAAAAGACTGAGCTACGCCGGTTGTCGTGTTAAGTAAAATGAATGAGGGTAGTCAACAAGTGCAAAAGTGAAACGTGGCCCTCTTATGCCCGGGGTCAGACTGCGTGACGAGCTCACGCGTGATGCTTTTGGTGTGAACCAAAACGGCGGCTTTTCAAAAGGGGCAAGAACATCAGATGTGCAGTGCGATTGAATTGAGCTCATTTCTCTGCTTCTAATGGAATTACTCATGACGTCTTCGATTGGCACCAACCGTCCGGCGTCAACGTCTAACGCTTGCTTCAATCGAAGTCGTTTGATGGCGCATTCCTGGTACATCTGATTGCATGAAGATACTCGATGCACCTGGCAAGCAATCCTTAATCAAGCGCGCGCTAACATCTGATATCGCATATGCCCGGATACAGTCCGGCTTGCACGCGTGTGATGCAATGATGGCCCGCATTCAGATCGATGGGGATTCCATATGTGGCAACTATACACAAGCTTCGTAGGCGCATATTGTCATCATCCCTATACATGAGGAGCTTGCATGATATTTGACATGAGTCCGATTCCGCAGCCAGCACATGCGCGCGCGGTTGCATCTTGCGGGCAGCCGGCTGAGATCTTGAACGATCTAACTCTAGACCTTCGAGGTCCTGACCCATGTGCATGCATGATAAATGTGCCAGTCGTTAATCGTGTGCCGCTCCTGAAACCCCTTGGTGGCTATTGATGTCTGCATGGTTGCGCAGCATGTTAAGTGCCCCAACGAGCTCGCAAATGCTGTCTCTCAACCGGCTTGCTCACATGTGCACACTGGCAATCTGCACCATGTTGCATGTGCATACATATGTCAGTCGCATCATGCTTTAAGGCGATTCCCTTTGGGAAGAGGCTCTTCGCTCCCCGCAAGGGCAGTCATTGCCAACCTGATCGAAAGAAGTTGCAAAAGCTTTCTTATAGAAGCGTTTTTTATCATTTCACCTCAAGTTGCGCCTTAGGGCCAGCCAGCCTCGATACCGTAGTACATCTGAGAATTCGACATTCATCTGAGCAAGCCGCTGCACATCATTTGCGTGCCTACAGGTCAAAAAGCTAGCTTTTACTGACGCCTCCACTCCACTCCCAGCACTCTTGTATACTAGTAGCACCGAGCCTCAGCTTCGATTCTCACAGCCCCAACCTAATTGCTTTCGTGTTGACTGCGTGCTATTTGCGATCCCCGCTAGGACGCGTCCTATGTACAATTCGTCAGGCTTTTTTGCCTCAGAGCGCTAATCCTGCTTGGGAGGCCGGTTGCCGCCCACACCTTGGACGTAAAGGTAGAAGAGCGTCATGACTGCGCTGATCAGGCCCACCAGTCCTGCATGGGCAAGGCCAACGGACGTCAAGAGCCTATACAACGAGATTAGACCAAGAAAGACTGATAGAGTTTCAATAGTTAAACGGAGAAACAGAAAGACTCGAAGACCATGTCGCCCATGTCTGTCGCATTCTGAACGGAACTTGCACATGACCCAGACAGCTATGACTTAATCCAAACCGGGGAGGTGCGACTTCTTTCCGAGTTTGAAGTCGGTTTCAACTCGTCAAATAGAATCTTCCAATGCCGGTGAAAGGTTTGACCTTCTCTTGGAGACGAATGTTCGGCGAGACAAAGACCTATTTCTGCATTCCAGCTGACACGACCCTGAAACGTGCCCACACCCACGACATTGGTGACCACTCAAAACAAGAGCCCTGAAGCAAATTCCAAAAATAATCTCAGCTCTTGAGATTATACCAAGGGAGTACCAAGGGAGTACTCCTTGGTACTCCCTTGGCAAGGAGTACCAAGGAGCTTAGGTACTCCTTGCCACAACAGTGTGAACGGGTCAAGGACCAGACAAGAGCGTAGAGGGATACCAAGCCGTGTGTCACATTCGATATTCTCCGAAAGTTGACCACAGCAGATTAATTTGCCTCTGCCAAATCTCCAATAATGGTAAGAAAAAAGGACCATAACGACAGTTGTTGCTGTTTCCTAGGTCCTCCCGCAAACCATATCAAGGCAGGCCGCAGGCGAGGCTTCCCAAGAAGCTCACCGTCCGGGATGCAACCACAGGGCCAGATGACACAGGCAAATTGAGTTGTGCGCAACGAACTCTAGTTGGCAATCTTTTCCAAGAAGTTCTTAGGTCGAACTCGGACGACAGGTCACATACAACTTACCTGTTGGAATGAAGTCCGCCTCGCCCTTGACATAAGGGTACCCATTGGCAAAGGCCAGGAAGGACGAGATGAAGAGCGAGAGCAGGATGTACGGCGTGTTCCTCTGGCCGGCCTTCCAGGTCTGGAAGCTCAGGTAGCTGCACCCCAGAGCAAGACAGTGAGCACACAGACAAAGGTGGGCGGAAGGAGAGTAGAAACGAAGAAAGGAATGCAACCGGAAGGATTCTAGATGTAACACTGTAAGCGATGGTCTGCTCCTGACGAGAAACCCCATCTGATTGCACCACACCCCCTTAAGCACCTATGATACGAGGAGGCAGTGAACATCAAGACAGGACAACACAACACGGACAAGGAAAGGAGTGCACTGTAGCGTAACTGCTGTTTGAAGCACATATACACCGAAAAAGAAGGGGCCCACAGGTAAGGCGGTGTAAGGTGGTACCGGGATAACCTTGGAGAAATTTGAGCTGTCTACCATGGAATACACGGTGCTGAAGGGCTCAAAGCAGTGCATCTCTTACAAGATATGGAAACAGGCAGACAGGAAAACCAATAGGTGTCGCAGATTCAGCAGCAGTGTTTCCAACTTGAATGCAAAAGTGTTTCTAAAGTGGGAGTCCCGTGCATCTGACAGAAAGATGGGGCTGCATCAACAGTAGCTCCCATTGCGTTTTCCAACCTTACCAAGTTTTGAATACGCTTTGTCAGACATCCAAACAAGGCAGCAGGCAGTGACAACTTGTGGTCTGCTTCATAGAACATCCATCTATTCTTCAGCACTCCACTTGCTGAAAGTTCTTTCATGTGAACCGACATTTTTAACAAGTCTTTCATTGCTAGTTTGATCATGGGCCGATGTACCCACCTGAGCGCAGTTTGCAGCACGCCAAGGCCGACACCTGGCAGCAGAGTGGTTGGATCCTTCTCTGCTGCGAACCAGACAAAGCCGCCCAGGAGGAGGATGATGCCTGCGAAGGAGAAAGCTAACAAGGTCACCAAGACAGTATCTGACTTTCAACCTGATACTGACTTCCAAGCAGGGGGTTTCCCAGTTTGAAGTAGGTAAGTGGTGCAATAAATGAGTTGTGGCATTTGTTGGACAGAATTGTCATAAAGCTTCGGTCAGCACTGCTGAGGCCCCTGCCGCAATGGCTGGATGATTCCACAGCAGCATAGTATTGATAACACTCTCTGCAAGTTGACAAATCATTCAGAGGACAAGCCAACTTGTACCCTACGGATAGCTGATGATGTCGCGCATGCTCTTGCGACACGGCTTCAAAATGGAGTATCAGCATGCTTTAGCAGCTCCTCCACAAAACATTTGCTTGCCATGTGATTAGTTGTGCTGGCGCTCCAACTCAAGCTCTGCAGACCATTGAAATGCAAGCAATCTACGGATCTAGTGCTTCTCTCATGCATGCACCTACGTCTTGATTGTACATGCATGTGGATTTGGATGTGTAAAGAACTTCCTAGACCAATTTTCAATGACTTTGAACCTCGTCCTTCTTCCCCGCCACGTGCTTGCCAGCATTTAAGATGTTCGATGAGAGTCTATCTACAATGGGGCACGTCATCTCGGAACCAGCGTCAAGCTGCAAATGCCACAAACTTGGAAACATACCATACGGAATGCCGAGGCAGAAGTCGTGAATCACTGCCCCCTTCTTCGCTGCCGCCCTTGAATGCGCCTTCTTCAGCTCGTCAGCGGCCCCCTTAACCCTCTCCGAAGCTTGCGTCGCAGCTGCTGTTAGCTCCTCTTTGCCTTTTTGAAGAATCTCCTCTGCCCCTTCCGCAGCATGTGCGACTGTCTCTCCAACCTTCTCCTTGCCCTTCTGGAGAGTGTCTGACACCGCCTTGGCGGTCTTGTCAAATTCCGTCTCCGCCTCGTGCTTTACATTCTCGCCCTTTGTCGGCGCCATGATGGAGGTCAATGGAGAACAACCTCACAATTGTTGTTCGCTTCGAGACAACAAACAAAGATCGGCCGGTTCTCCTATCGCTTCCCTGGCTCCCTTCAGAATCAAACTTCAAAGTGTTGATGGCTAGCTTGACAGCCCACAGGCACACGCCAAAACCTTGAAGTTCGTCTCAATTGAAGTTGGCCGACCCACTATTGGCTAAGAGCTTTGCCACTTGTACCACGTGGCCCTTCCGAGTTGCATCATTTCCTCGATCGAGGGCAAAGTCATGGTTTGTGCCAGCTGTTTGCGAAATCAAATTGAAGCCTGAGCACTGACAAAGAGCATTGCGATCCGAGATGGTAACTCTTCATTTATCAACGCCCAGATTTTCCTGAGTCCTGGGTGCTCTCAGACGCCGTCCCTCCCTAATGGACCCTTCGGGCGGACCACCACCCCGCTCTCTCTCAGACCGATAGAACTTTCGGGAAATTGGATATCTTGTGGGTGAAAGTGTCCAACTGTGGTCCAACTCGTCATCAACGGTCTCGGTGCGGTCTCGATCGCATCCGATAGCTTCTGAGGAATAAAAGGATTTATTCCTGAGGATGTGTTTTGCGTGTCAGAGAATGTGAATACCGCCAGTATTTTATTTACGACTTGGAGCTTTGTTGCGATGGTTACAAATCCCCATGATTCACACTCCGTTCTCCGGACTAATCTTTGCTTCTGAAGTTCCGATAGTCACATTAGAGCCATGGAGCACGGTCTCCGGCAGACCCGGGATAGTTTGTTGACTCTACAGCTTGCTACGGCTGTAAGTCATGTCCGGACTCAATCTGACCCTACAAGAGACCTAACAAAGCTAGAGTCCTTCGATGGACATACCTATGCATTATAGCGACTTGTGGTACCATGCAAGTAAGTTCTATGTCCCACTGAATTCCGACGGCAGATTAGCTATCCCGAAAATGGCTCTAGGCCTCTTCAGTTACGCGACGAGTGCCTTAAATTTGCCCTTTAATTATGACCAACTACAACAATTTACTACTCCTAGCGGCATTTTTGCCCTTGGTGATGCATTTGTAGAGCAGGTCCCACGCAGGTCCACAATGGTGTCGATTTGGTCACAGGCCCCATCGCTGAACGCATAGTTGCACAATTCGCCTTCGCCGTAATGATACGCGTATCACATATCGTGCAACTATGGCTGAACGGCTCTTCCGCGTCCTCGGTAGACGCTAGTGTTGCTGCCGCAGCTTCCGCAATGGCACGGGTGCGCTGCAGAGCCTTCTCCGTGTGCTCGGTGGTTGTTTCCTCGGTTGTTTTGGTTGCACCCTTGGGGTTTGGGATGCAGTGCTCGATGACGAGGCCTTTTAAGTTTGTCCATGACGTTCTGCCGGATGGAGAGGTATTCCTCCCAAGCGGCATCGAGGCTCTTACGCGAGCCGAAGCACGCTCCCCACGTGCGCGCTTTTGCTGGCCGCGCTTGGTGAAGAGGCACCAGGCTGCACTCGGGAGTTGATGGTGTCGCGTTCAAAGCCCGCCGCCAGTAGGGGTTCCTGGACGTCGATCTTTTATAAACTCGTTGAGGAACCTGTCCGGGGCGCTGGTTTTGCTAGATCAGGATGTGAGATCGATGCATCCATTCACTATGATAGTGACTAGATCAAATCTGTAGGTAGGTACCTCTTATTGCTTCCACCAGACTTCAGAGGTTTTTGAAAGACGTGTATAAAGACGAATTACAATGTACAGCTAAGTTTCGGATGAGTTGCTTTGCAATGGGATGTCTGACTGAATTACACAAATGGTCGAGTTCCTTGGCGAGTCGAAAGGGGGTTGCTCACCAATTTGTCGTTTAGGTAAGACTGCGGTCGAGACTATCATTCAGTCAACTCGATATGTCACATGAAGTCTGCTTGGGATGTCCTAAAATATTGCTTCAGATATACATTTAATATTGAACACTCATCACAAAGTCTGGGAAGGAGGGTACCTATATTGGAGACATTAACAGCAATCAACAACCTTCACGATCAATCTTCCAGCACACTGCACCAACAACTCTTGAGGCAAGTTCCGCAAGCCTGGCCGTGAAATTACAAAACTTACAGCGTTAGCCTTATAATTGGAATATCAAAGAGCATCCGGTCCAAGTTGCACTCCCAATCTCCGACATTCAAAGCCATGCATTACTACATCTATTGTACAAGCTAGGACATTGTTCTATGCAATCTGCACCCCCTAGCCACAACAATCTAATGAGTAGTGCTTGAACACATTCCTTATAAAATATCCAGAACTTCTGTAGACTCGCTTGCTTCTCAAAAAGAACTGGCCAACCATTCCTGTTTGATGGATTGGCAACAGCCTGCCTACTGTATAGCGGTGACTTCATATCAAACCCACTGTAATTCTCCCTAGACCCAAAACACAGCCTATAGACAGCCCTACACGAAACCTCCCGTGTTTGAATTCCAGATTGTCAAACTGCAAAATGTACGCAATCGTGACATACGCGCGAATTACTGGTCATAAGCCAGGACCCAACAACTACTCGTGAGGCCGAGCAGACCACAAGGAGCTCAGCGCGCGAAGACGGGAGAAGTAGTCGCCCATGGCAAGTAGTCCTTGGGCAGTTTGCCTTGTGTTGAGCACCTTAGCCATCTGCTGAAGCATTTGCTGCCTGAGACTGTCAGCCTGCACAAACCACGTAGACCAGGTCAGTGCATACTTGAGGATTACTTCTACCTACTTTACAGATTCGAACAATGACCTGTGAACTTCAAACTTGATCACAAGATTGCACATTCTCCGACTGAGGCGCGTTCAACACTGTCACAAAGTGCAAATAGGATGGGCGAATTCCACAGATGCAGATCTTTTAGAATTCTCCAAACAATTGAGACATTCTCCGCATGAGTTGTCTGTATCAAGTTGTGGCCTCACCTGCCGGACAAACGTTTCAAGGGCCCCGAGCTTGCCCATCGCGATAGCCATTTGGCCCATGTAGTTGGCCATGTTTGGGACAGTGGAGATGCTGCCAGTGCTGAGGGTGTCGGCCAGGCTTTGTTGCAAGGCTTCCATGCCCTGGGACAGGGCGTCCTCTGCTTGCTGGCTCTGCTGCTGGAGGTTGCACACGCTCAGGAGTTGGGACTCAGTCAGGGGCTCAATCTGGGGGATGAGAATCTGCAAAGAAAAGGGAGAAGGGTAATGCCACAGTTGATGAAGCTTGGTGAAACAACTGCAGGGGAGCTGTGCGCTGTGTTCAAACTGGGAAGGCATGGGGGCCCTGCTGAAACCACAGGCCTTTCAGAATTTGGCAACCATTTGGGCAGGGGGGAATGTCTGGTGGGAAGCAAAACCATCACTTCGAATTGGCAACCTGCATGAATGTTAGACGACTTTTAAACTGCTGTAAGGCTGGTAGGATCTGACCAAAGTGCAAGACCGACTGTCCTATCAGTACTGAACAGGTGAGAGGCGTCGTTTCGGGGCAAAAGCTCCTGAGGGGCTTAGACTAAGTGCACACAACATCACTTGTCTTCTGACAGACGAGTCCGTGCTGAGGGGCATCAAGCCTACTGATGGACAGAGTGAGCGTACCTTGAGCATCTCAGAGGGCCGAAAACCCCCCATCCAAAGGAAGCAGCGCTCAGCTGGAGTTTTCCAGGTGCCAGACATGAGATGGAAGACATCGGCCTTGGCAGCTTCGCTCTTCAGCCTGAAGATGGTGTCATAGTGCGCCAGACTCTTGTCCACGAGTTTTTTCAACTCGGCATCTGGGAGATGGTTCTGCAAGTGCAACCAAGTATGGGTTAGAGGAGTGCAACTAGTAAGGATCAGAGGCAGTGAAGAGATTAGTTCACCAGGAACTAATTCAAAGGCAAATTATATAATTGCAAAGCAGTACCACTCACTGGCTTACATTCAGAGCAGTTCAAGAAGGAAAGGTGCACTGCAAGATTGAGACAGGACCCAATATAGAATACATGCAGGTTCAACCTGCCCCGACAAAGCACCTAAGAAACAACTCTTCACTGATTCCACACCTGGTTAGTCAGGAGACAATCCCCTCTACACGGTCCTGTCAAGGAAACAATGGTCAAAGCCCTTGGACAATGAGCGCGGCAAATTACCTGCAGGGCAGTCCGGGTGTCTGCCAGAGTCCTCTGCTGCTCTTCAACCCATCTGACGTACTCCATGTCAAACGCCGCTACAGCAGGGTTTACTTGGGCCCCATTGACACCTGCTGCTGCTGTATGTGGCTGGACCCCCTGTCGACGAGCCTGCTGCAGCTCCTCTTCCAACTGCTGCAGCCTGATTCTGCTTGCCTCCAATTGTTGCACGTACGCCTTCTTGCGCAGCCGAGACTTCCGGGCAGCCTCTCTGTTCTGTGCCAACCGCCGCTCCCGCCCAAAGAAGTCCGAAACTGTCTGAGGCATCTAGAATGACAAGGGTCCCAGTCTCAGTTCCCCTTCCCAAACAAGAAGCAAGCTATGCTCAGGCAAGACTTGCTGATCCCCAGGACAGGAGTATTCAAGGCTCTCTTGACAAACGAGCATTCATTGTGCAATAAGTTGCAAACCCTTCAATGGCAGTCTGTTTGATGGCAGTCTGTTTGACAGCAACACCCCCACAGAATGCATCATGTCCTTTGTCTTCAATAAGGTGCTCACCTTATCGCTCTGAGAATCATCTTGCTCATTGTCACTGAGCGTCTCATCCATTGACTGGAGCCTCATATCCGAATCCATGACCTTCGACTCCCCAAGGAATGCCCTACTAGCCTCCTGCTGCTGCTGCTGACTTAACAAGCTAATATTACCAAAGATGCTCGAGGAGAACGGGCTGCTAGCTAACTGCGGCGGCTGTCGCTGAAAGAAGCTCATACTCTCAACCTTGAGTGCTCTTATTGCTTCAATGCTTCGAACAGCTGTCCCTCTGCGGTGCAGCTAACCCCAAGCAAGGGAGCATGCGTAGTTGACGACCAACTTCCCCTCCAGGGCAAAGTTGTCAAACAGGTCTGCCACGAGCTCGTCGGGATTGGGCGAGAATGCACTGTTGATATACACAAACAGAGTGTCCCTGTGAATCTGCTTCCGAAGGAACTCTATAACTTTAGCAAACCTCTCTGCAGCCCCAATCTGCAAGACAGGATACAAGAAGCATCAAACATTGTTCACAGATGGGCCCAGAGTATATGAGCTGCCTCGCAATGCCACAATGCCCTCGACTGGAGCTGTCTCAGACCACATGATAATAGAACCACTGTAGCCTATGCAGGCATCTTCTGATAAGGGCAACCGACAATGATTGAGAATCTTACCTTAAACTTGCTGACCTTCAAAATAGGGGCATCCCCAGTTGCTCTAAAGAGGACCACAACTGCAGAATGCAGAAAAGCACATCAACAAACAAACTCCCTGCATCTGAACAAGAGCGCTGATGACAGATTTCTCTTGGGCATACACCATTGAAGCCCCAAAAGCTCCAAACTGAGCACGACAAGCCCTCTCCTTCCAAACTAGCCCACCCTGCTCCACTGCCAACGAACGTTCAATGCTCTCACCCTTCTTGCTTTGGGCCGCCTCCACCTGCATGGCCAAAGTCCACGAGCGTCCAACTTCCTTGCCCGTCCAGTCAGCGCAACAGCCCGGGCCCCAGCTCAGCTGTTTTGAAAGGCTAGGAACCAGATTCAGAGGAGGCGGACGCTCTCGCTCGCATGAAACTTGAAAGCTGTCCACCTGGTAGCTGCGTGAGATCTTGAGATGATGACCGAATCAATTGCGTGCTTGTGTCAGGGGAGTTGCTTCTGACTTCAGTCACGGCCGGGCGCCCCCGTACAGCCAGCGTCGGTGCTTGTACACGTCCTCCATCTTCGACGTGCGAACCGTCACATACGTACCCTGAGGGGTTAAGGAACCCACCCACGCCTACGTCAGCTTTGACTCCGCCGACCGCCAGTACTACCTGCCGGGACTTCAAGTTCCAGTGCGCCGCTTCCCTCGATCTGCGTCCTGTGCATGGAGAAGGCACCCGATCGCCGACTTGTGAAACTAGATGCGGTTATGCCCTAACTAACATCTGAAGCACAAACCGTGTTTACCTGATGGTCACTTCGTATTAATGAACGCGTGCACACCCAGGTGCATAGCGCAATGGTACCTACCTACCTCCACTGGAGGTGCCGGGCTTGCCGGGTGCCGTCCGTCGGCCTACCTCA